AAACTTATTCAACTTAATTTTTATATATATATATATATATATATATATATAATCTTTTGAATAGTAGTGTGATTTAATCCAGATATTGCTATTGTTAATTATATTATTAATGTAATATAGAATTATATTAGTTATTCAACAAACATGTTTAAAAATATATTTATGTACATTCATTAATATTAATATATAAATGTAATTATATTTTAATATATAAATATACTATTCTAGAGAGAAGCACAGAGTGATTCCTGGAACATGAAAGTAGCACCAGTATTTTGTTTTGGACAATAGACAAATATACATACAAATTTCATGGTTTAGTTTCACCACTGCATTGGCCACAATTGACCAATCCCAAACAAATATTTCAGAGAACCATAGTAGCTTAGCTGTGGAGCAGCTTCACTTTGCTTACTAAGAACAAGTGTTCATCTCTACCAAAGTGTGTGTATGTGTATGTGTATGTGTGTGTGTGTGTGTGTGTGTGTGTGCGTGTTTGCACTTGCAGAGCTTCTTCTGTAATAGACATGGTACTTTGGCTTACTTTTCTCCTCACACCTGCTTCCTCGTGTATATGCTGTAGCTAACTGAAATTTCCCCTACCGATAAATCAAACTGAATAGAAGCCAGGACAGTTTGTGGACTGACACCTGAAGACAGACACATGACAATGCTCTGACAAATGGGTGTACTGCTATGTTCAGGCAATTCCCCAATTCTGGAGTAATTACACACAGAGCAGCCCTTGATAACACAGCTGTCCCTCTTCTGTTAGCGCTTGTCTTAGTCAGCTTGACTGTGCATTGCTCATAGCTTGCTTGCCTGCTTGTTTGCTGCCTGTCTTAAAAAAGACTCTCCATTTCTTCCTACTCTTAATGTGTGTGTGTGTGTTGAGGTATATTTGTTTAATTTCCTTTTTTTAACATTTAAACTATAATTTGTGTGACACAGTGAAATATATTGGTGTGTCATTCCTACAATGAAACACTTCGTATATTTCAGAGGCATCTGTGTCTCTTCTGTAGTCTCCTTATTAGTTTCTGTCGGTCATGTGAAGTGTTAATATCCTGCCTCTTTTCTCTCTATGTTTTTAACTAACACCTGAAGGAAAGACCAGGGGGAATCCATCAGCAGGTTTGTTGTTCTCGTATCTACATCCTCCTAGTGTCCGGAATGTTTTAATTATTTAAGTATTGATTGTCTTTTAGCTTCCAGTGCATCAATAAAAATAGGGAGAAGAATTAAGTACATTCAGTCATGGCATGTTACATGTCTTGCTTTATCATTCACTCCCACTGATTTTTTATTTATTTGAAATAGTAGCTATAGTATGTGTGGTATCTGCTAATTATCACATAATAAACCAAGACAGGATGATCAGGACACCAATGTGAAGCTAACTGTACTGTCTCTTATAACAAGGCTACATATAATTAGTAAACTATTGATTTTAATTTGGTTTATTATATTACTTGTACATTATAATCAGTAAGATAATATTTTTATTCAGCAAGGATGCATTAAATTGATTAAAAGTTGCAGTAAAGACATTTAAATGTTTACATTTTCAAATTTCAGATAAAGGCTGTTCTTTTTTAACTTTCTATTCATCAAAGAATCCTGAAGAAATTATGAGTTTAACAAAAAATATTAAGTGTGATAATAATATGAATTGAGCCCCAATATATATTGTATACTATATAATATTAATCAGTATATTAGAATTATTTCTGAAGGATCATGTGACGATGAATACTGGAGTAATGGCTGCTGAAAATTTAGGCTTTCCATTACAGGAATAAAATTCATTTTTAAATATATTAAAGTAGATTTTTTTTTTATATATATATTTTAATAATACTTCACAGTATTACTATTTTGTAATGTATTTTTTATTAAATAAATGCAGCCAACATAAGTCTTCTTTTATATATATATATATATATATATATATATATATATATATAATATGTTTTTTGCTAGATAATAGCTTCAATTAATTGCTTTTTATTAGTAAGCGTATATGTGTGTGTGTGTGTGTGTGTATCTCTACCTAAGTGTGTGTATGTGTATGTGTATGTGTGTGTGTGTGTGTGTGTGTGTGTGCGTGTTTGCACTTGCAGAGCTTCTTCTGTAATAGACATGGTACTTTGGCTTACTTTTCTCTGTCTACCTACATGGACAGAAACGTGATGCACTTTTTCCATTCAGAGATTGTTTATATTGACTGTTAAATATTACTACAGCCAGGAGAAAGTAAAGATCACAGCATAAATGCATTAAGGTGTTTTACGGTTTTATCCTTCATCTTTTCCCCCATATAACAACCCCCATCCTCTTCTAAATACATTTCATCAATAGGCCCAGTAAGTAATAGCAGTAGTGACTCAGTTCCAGACTTAGCTGTTGACATTTTGGACTCTGCATGTTTGTACACAGTACTTGACTACGTTTAGACACATGAAAGACTGTCGCATCTGCAAGGCCATAGTGTGGTCAGATGTTTGCTGTCAGGCTGGTAACGTTTTGTTTTAAAAGTGATTTCAGCAGGGGTGGAGCTTATTGCTCAGTCCCTGTAAATAATGGTTGCACCCCAGGCTGGATGTTTGCATGGTTCGTATTAAATATGTGAAGAGCAGAGCACCAGCACTCTTTGTAAATTACACTTAAATGAAGTAATTTACAGTTGGAAAAGCCCCACAATGTGTGGCAAATGTGTCATTAAATGTGATGGAAAATTAACCTTCAAATTGCAAAGGCATTACAGCAAACAGCTAAGCTGTGAATACTTTTTGCGCTTGTGAAACCTTTTAAATGGATGAACATTAAGTCTTTAGTCTTTAAGAAAACATTAGGTATAATCCACAATCCACATAATCCATTTGTACTGGTTAGAGAGTGAAAGGAACAAAATATTTACAGAACGATAAGTTATAATTAGCCAGCAAATCCAAGAAAGTTTGTCAAATTCTTTGGTTGTTAGACAAGTTTTGTACACTGTTTACTTCTGATATACTTCTAGTGTGAATGTGCTTGTGAGTGTATGTAGTTTGGTGCAGTGCTAATTAAACTTTATATTACCATGTTTGGTTGCAAAAACATGCCAATTTATTTTGCATTTTGCTCCATTTTTACCGTTTCGATGTTGTTCCATCCATATAATTTCGTCCACTTAAGTAGGTTGTTTCTGCTCACAGTCTAACTAACTCATCTGCCATCTGTCTTCCTCATTTCCTTAGTAAGGGTCATAGTAATAGACAGAGGCTCTTCAGGAGGTATACCACATGGAAATATAGGTACCCAGCATCCCCCACTGCTCCAGCAATATGACCAATGTGAATGCTGACTAACCTTATGCATGGATGATGACGGCCACCTCAGATAACCTTACAGACCCTACAGAGGGTCTAATATGAAGGTCCTATTGCCTGTTGCCTGAAGGATTTAACTGCCACTGTCTGATCTATCCAATACCCCTATCTGACATGCAGAAATTACTCTACAATATTATTACCAAAATGATACATTATCTAATTTGTGATGATAATCAAATAATGTAAAGCTAAACTTAAAACCACCAGTTTTCCAACATCCCACATTGCAATGCAGGAATAATCCGATCAAGTGGTTTTAAAGGTTCAGTTCAGTTGTGAAGGATATCTCTGACTGTACTGTATATGTCTCTGTTTGCATTAACACATTAGTCTTAACCTGCATGTTGCATGTGCATGAAATTAGGCTCTATAGTCTTGTAAGTCACCTTTATAGCATTGTCTTCACTCTCCTTTTACACTACATCTCTTTCACGTACAAACTCAATACCAAGCATGAGCTCAGTGGACTATGTAGACATCCAGCATGAATTAAGAACCCCAGCTTATGGAATTTTTGTCTTTGAAGGAATACGTATAGAACTGTTCTGCTCATAAACTGTTAATATGCTGGGCCTCAACATCAGGCTTAGAAAGGTACATGGAAATGTTGTCAGGCTGCTCCACATTGAAGGTATCAAAAGAAGTAGGGTGGTTAGAGAGTCATTCTTCAAAATGTTGCTTGCTGATTGGTGGAAGCCGTGGAATGAGGTTTGTGTTGCATGATGGTCTTTTAATGCAATTTTTGAGAAAAGTTTAGGACAGTTTTTGAGAACTTCCAAGTAAGATGTGGTTCCAAATCGTGTCAACAAAAAATTGTTGTACTGGAGGAATTTAGTAGAGAAACTTACAGGTCCAAAACAAGCCATCACAACAGTTTTTATTAAACCAAACTTTAGTTAAATACATCTTTATTTCCATTCCATGTTTAATTATTTCTCTGTTTATTTGACCCTTCCCGCTTCCCATCCTCTTCCATTCCTCTTCTTTCCTCTCCTTCAGTCAAAAGTTAAGTTTTCGGGAGCGTGTGCGCATGGCCAGTCCTCGCGGTCAGAGCATGAAGAGCAGACAGATGTCAGTGAATGACCGACGCTCTCCTGCCACAGAGGTTGGGGTTGAGGGCAGCAGCCCTGCCAAGGTCCAGAAGAGCTGGAGCTTCAATGACCGAACACGCTTCCGGCCATCACTGAGACTCAAGAGCCAATCGCGCACAACGACTGAAGGTGAACAGCTTTTTTTATTTGGTCACTGTTGTTCCACTTCTGTTGTAATAGAAGCAGATTTAGGAAAGTTCTCATTAGCTGATAATCAGAGCTGTGGTTTAATTTGCTTCACAAATTATTAATTACTTCATTTTAAAAATAATTATAGGTCATGTTTGCTGTGTTATCTGCTAGTCTTGACACCATTTGACCCTTTATAAACAAGAATGAGTCTTTCCCTATATACTGTATTGTTTTTTTGGACTTGTCCCTGAAGGCAGGATTTACAAACACACTGTGCTGCAGTGGGAGAACACGGTCTCCCATGGGACCCTCTGTTTGCACTAGTTAACCTTGGATCATGCTCCCATCACCAGAATGCCTCTCAGGGAAGAAGAGCTCAAAGGATTGAGAGAATGTGGCCCCCCATGTGGCCCCATCACTGCAGCTACATAGATTAACATGAGCTTACAGGGACAGGTTTAAATGGAATAAAAGATTGGAGAAGATTGCAAAACGTCACCAAAGAGAGAAGGCTGACGTTTTCGCCTAAAGATTGAGAATATATTTTTCACAATAAGATCAATAACATACATTTAGACATATAGAAAATAGGTTGAATTTTTGTTTCATGACACAAGAATGGACTTGCATAGATCAGATGCATAGATGAACGCTTGATTTACATTCAAACCAACTGAATAAACTAATTTACTGAAATGAATCTGACTTCCAAATGCTAGTTTAGGAGAGTTCATTTAATTATTCAGCAAAGCCAAGTATGCAAACAATGTGATATAAAATACAGAAATGTAACATTTTAAAAATTACTTTGTTGCTGGAAAAGCTGCAGTTGTCATGCTAAAGAATGATTCACTACTTCTAGTCACTCTCCAACAATGCACCTACATGTTTTGTTATTGTTGTACCATAAGATTTATTGTAACATTCCCAATCAGTACATTTTCACAGAAGTGCCCAATTACTACTAACAAGCAGATTTTACAAAGGTAGCTTCTCAGTGGCAGCGACGATCGAGCTCCAGCCCTGTATGAGACCCATCAACCCAAAATGAATCTCATACCTGCTGTGCTACCACTCTCTGGCTTCATACTCTTAAATAGCACACACTATAGATCCACCACAGGTTACTGTATATAACCCATAAGTCACTGCTGAGGAAGAGAAAATGCTTCACATTTTGATAGCAATCTCTCATCTTCTGCTGTTTATCTGTGTCAGGCATCACACACAGTTTAAATGGAAGAATTCATTCTCTTCTACAAGCATCATATATTTTGTCTGTTACCTGTTTCTCTTTGTTTTTGATTCACAGTCAAGTCCTTTGTTTGTTTAAATACAGTGGCATTGATAGTGATATTGTTTAAATAATTGACATTTCCATCCATCCATCCATTCTCCAAACTGCTTGTCCTTTGTCAGATTCTCAGACACTTTTTGTGACTCCTTAAGTCATTTTGTTGCCTTTCAGCTTAATGTGATGCGTCAGTACAGCAGTACTTTCTTCCAGTATTCATGCAGTAAAGCTCAGTGGAGTGGCCTGTGGTCAGTGTGATGGGGGTCAAGGGAAAGATTTGCTTTGAATGCTATTTTGATTCATAGCTGTATTGATCTGCCCTAGGCTTTCTCTACTTTTCAGCCTAGTTTAGTTTTCAGCCTTTTTGAGGATCGCTGTAAAAATGTTTTTGCTTGCTACGATTCAGATTCTTTCACTTTCTCGCGCTTTCTCTCACAGCTGACACAAATCTTGGACCGGATGATGCTTTTGATGAGAAGGGTTGCCATTGTGATGTGACTGTGGAAGATCTATCTGCCCCACTAAAGGCAGTGATCAGGGCTGTCAGGTGAGTTTGACTTCCCAGAGAGCGTTGTTCTCCCCTTGTGAAAGCTTGAAGAATTCACACTGTAGTTGCAGGGTTGAAAACACTCATTTTGACCTTCCTGGCCTATTGATTGAGGCATCAGGGTTAGATGATCACTGCTGTCTCTCTCCTGCTGGGACAGGCCACTGATGTTGCTTCATGTGACTTCACTTCCATCGCTCCGAACTATTAGGGTCTCCCAGGTGGGCTGAGATTTTTCCCACTCCTCTTTCCCAGGGTGTCGGATAGAAATGTTCACAGTCAGTTCTGCTTACACACCAGCTCATCTGACAGGAAGAAAACTCACAGGGGCTTGAATCTGCAAGACGTTACAGAAACAGATCACTGAAATCTGCTCCCCTCTGTGTCAATATTTGCTTTTTCACCTTCACTCTGCGGAATGTTGCGCATAGAATAGGTTTAGGTTTCAGTGTGCCTGCGGTAATGCCTGTGTTTTCACAGCTAATGTCATCTGTAGCACATAGCTTTACTAGAACATGAGCCTTACTTGAGTAATATTATTATAAACTGTTTTTAAAGCAGAGGTATATCTAATCCTATTTTTTCTCTGGGTCATAAACTGTTGTGGTATTTGTGACTCATTTCTGCCCTCTAGTGGTTCTGAGCAAGCTTACACAACTTGCAGGCTTGTTTATTTGGGAGTTGCAAAGAGGTTTGCTTTGTTGTGCTGATTGCGTATGCACATAATATACTGTTTATAGATATATCTTCAAATGTAACTAGAAATATCTTATTTTATTAAATGTTTTCATGGTTGAAACAATTAAAATAGTCATGGTTAAAAAAAAAAAACACTTTTTCCAATAGAGTAAGAAATATAAACTTATTAAAAGATGCATTTAATGAAAATGTGTCTTATTATTTATTAATTTTTTAAAATAAATCTATTTTAAATAAACACATATTAAATATATTTAAACTGCAAATAAGAAAAAACATATTGGATTATTTTTCCTTACCTTTACTACATATGCCTGTGTGTCATAATTTCTAATCAAAAGTTAGTTGAGTCTTGTTTCTTGTTTCACTGTTGACAGGATAATGAAATTCCATGTGGCCAAGAAGAAGTTTAAGGAGACGCTTCGACCGTATGATGTGAAAGATGTGATTGAGCAATACTCTGCTGGTCACCTGGATAGGCTTTCTCTACTTTTCAGCCTAGTTTTGTTTTCAGCCTTATTGAGGATCCCTTGTAAAAAGGTTTTTGCTTGCTGTTATTCAGATTCTCTCCCTTTCTCTCACAGCTGACACAAATCTTGGACCGGATGATGCTTTTGATGAGAAGGGTTGCCATTGTGATGTGACTGTGGAAGATCTATCTGCCCCACTAAAGGCAGTGATCAGGGCTGTCAGGTGAGTTTGACTTCCCAGAGAGCGTTGTTCTCCCCTTGTGAAAGCTTGAAGAATTCACACTGTAGTTGCAGGGTTGAAAACACTCATTTTGACCTTCCTGGCCTATTGATTGAGGCATCAGGGTTAGATGATCACTGCTGTCTCTCTCCTGCTGGGACAGGCCACTGATGTTGCTTCATGTGACTTCACTTCCATCGCTCCGAACTATTAGGGTCTCCCAGGTGGGCTGAGATTTTTCCCACTCCTCTTTCCCAGGGTGTCGGATAGAAATGTTCACAGTCAGTTCTGCTTACACACCAGCTCATCTGACAGGAAGAAAACTCACAGGGGCTTGAATCTGCAAGACGTTACAGAAACAGATCACTGAAATCTGCTCCCCTCTGTGTCAATATTTGCTTTTTCACCTTCACTCTGCGGAATGTTGCGCATAGAATAGGTTTAGGTTTCAGTGTGCCTGCGGTAATGCCTGTGTTTTCACAGCTAATGTCATCTGTAGCACATAGCTTTACTAGAACATGAGCCTTACTTGAGTAATATTATTATAAACTGTTTTTAAAGCAGAGGTATATCTAATCCTATTTTTTCTCTGGGTCATAAACTGTTGTGGTATTTGTGACTCATTTCTGCCCTCTAGTGGTTCTGAGCAAGCTTACACAACTTGCAGGCTTGTTTATTTGGGAGTTGCAAAGAGGTTTGCTTTGTTGTGCTGATTGCGTATGCACATAATATACTGTTTATAGATATATCTTCAAATGTAACTAGAAATATCTTATTTTATTAAATGTTTTCATGGTTGAAACAATTAAAATAGTCATGGTTAAAAAAAAAAAACACTTTTTCCAATAGAGTAAGAAATATAAACTTATTTCAAGATGCATTTAATGAAAATGTGTCTTATTATTTATTAATTTTTTAAAATAAATCTATTTTAAATAAACACATATTAAATATATTTAAACTGCAAATAAGAAAAAACATATTGGATTATTTTTCCTTACCTTTACTACATATGCCTGTGTGTCATAATTTCTAATCAAAAGTTAGTTGAGTCTTGTTTCTTGTTTCACTGTTGACAGGATAATGAAATTCCATGTGGCCAAGAAGAAGTTTAAGGAGACGCTTCGACCGTATGATGTGAAAGATGTGATTGAGCAATACTCTGCTGGTCACCTGGATATGCTATGTCGTATCAAGAGTCTCCAGACTAGGTGAGATTAACCAGCCCTGGTTGTGTGGTGAAAATATGTTCAACGTGAACATGTGACTAAAAGTTATCAATTCATTTATAACTTCTCCGTTCACAGTTTTCTCTTTTTTTTTTTTGCATAAAATTCTCACACACCAATACACATTAACAAATGGAGTTAGCACAAATACATATTTACAGAAAGCTGTACAGAAAATAGTTCAATAGGTTTGTTTTCTTATGCACACTTTCTACATCTATATGTCTGTGTCTGTCTTATCTCCCTGTCTGCGCTCTCTCATTCAGGTTGGACACCTTCATAATTTCTCCGTTCATAGTTTTACTTTTTTGGGGGGGATTCTGCATAAATTGTCACACGCCAATACACATTAACAAATGCAGTTAGCACAAATACATATTCACAGAAAGCTGTACAAGAAAAAAGTTAAACAACCTTGTTTTCTTATGCACACTTTCTACATCTACATGTCCATGTCTGTCTTATCTCCCTGTCTGCGCTCTCCCATTCAGGTTGGACACCATTGTGGGTCCACAGACCCTGAGCAGCAAAGCCAAGACCTTTTCTTCTCCTTCCCTGCACTTGTATTACAGCCAGGCCAAGAGGAAACACTCTGCCCCAGGGTCAGCTGACCCACAATCCCCCACCCCAAACTCTTTTAACTCTGGAACATCCAGAATCCAGAGTCAAATGCTGAGGCTGTGTGTCTAATTCTCCAGTGTCCATTACCCTCTGGACATCAACATCACAGCAGTTCAGCTTTTAAAGAGCTAAACACTTAAAAAATAAATAAAATATCTAAAGATTCTTAAATCAAAATAAATTGTGTAAGATATTAAAACTTGTTTTCAGAGAATATATAAGTTTACTTTTAAAATCTAATTGGCGAAGTTGCTTGTTGAAACATAAACAGTACATTTTGTTAGATTTATGCTTATAAAACAATTTATCTGTGAGACAGAAATACAAAGTAATACATCTTAATTCAAGTTATATTATCTGAAGTTATTATGCAGTCTTATCTAAGGATGTTTAGATATGTTTAATGCAAAACAAGACAAAACTACTGAATAAAAAGAAATTACCGTTCAAAAGTTTGGCATCAGTTTGTTGAATTAATCATTTCTGAAGGATCATTTGACACTAAAGACTGGAGTAATGGCTGCTGAAAATTTTGCTATTACAGGAATAAGTTACATTTTAAAATATATTAAAATAGAAAATAGTTATTTTAAACTGTAATAATATTTTACAGTATCACTGTTTGTTTTTTGTTTTTTTATCATGTAAATATAGCCTGGGTAAGCATAAGCATTTGAACATCTTTCAAAAGCAAACAAACAAACAAAAACACACACACACACACACACAACGGTAGTGTATATATATATATATATATATATATTTACAATATGTATTTTTGCAGTAAAGGCTGGACTGTTTGTGATGTGTCAGTGACCCAAAGCCTCAAGCTTTTGGCTCTGTTCAATTATTTCTTCATCCCTCCATTTTTCTCCATGTAGAACTTTCTCCCTATTTAACAAGGTTGTCAATGCTAAACCAGCATAACCGTGATGCAGTGCATGGTGTTAGATTGAATGTGCCTGTGTATAGCACTAACTTTTAGATTGATTCTTCTCAGCTTTCCCTATTATTTTGGTCCCAAAGCTTGATTTTTGTTTAACATTTTGTCTGGCATGGAAGTAGCATATTAACATGTTGTTATTCTTTAATATTTTGAACCAACAGGTGTGTAAATCAGTAGTTTGCTAGCTCTGATTTGAACAACCATCTCTAACTTACATTTACTTAAATATCAGATACCTCAGTCACTGACTTTGAGACACTGACTTTGAACCAACAGTTAAGAATTTAACCTAGATTACTGAGACCTTTGTTTTGATCATTAATCTGTATTAGTAAATCGCATGTAGTAATAGTATCTTGCCATGGTGCCAAAAGTACCTTCTCTTCAACTTTCTCTCTCCTCCCTTTTACTTGACGGCACAACCATAAAAATGTTCTTGACCCCGGTATGTTTTCTCATCTAGACTCGCCACAGCTGTGGGTCCACATCAGACACTCAGCACCAAAGCCAGGAACCTTTCCTCTCCCTCTCTACACATGTATTACAGCCAAAGCAAGAAGAAGCACGCTGGGTCAGAGGCCTGTAGCAGGCTGGGGGCTAGTCATGGGGCTGTACTTACCTCAATCACTTCATATTGTGAATGGGGTCCAATGGTGATGATGTACAGTATTTAGCTAAAACTATCCATAGGGTTTAGGGTTTTGTTAAGGGGCTGAAGTAAATAAGCCAAATCTTGACATTTAGACATTTTAGCTTATTTTAATGCATTTGGAAATTTGCTAAGGCCACATTGAGAACAACTACTGATATATAGGAATCACAGACCTCTATTTTTCCCTTTATTTATTATCTTCATCATTGGACTCCAAGGTGATTAATAAATAGTGATGTTTTTCAACCAATGAGATGATTTATTAATTGTGTAGCACACACTGATTCAGCTGATTGATGTTGGTTTAACTCAAACTGCTCTTGCACAATAGATTTGAAGAGGCAAGGAAGCATAAGATGTTTTTTCTAACACCTGACAAAATACATTGAGAATCACAGACTGAAATGTGCAATCCAGAATATATTAATACTGTACATAGTCTGCATATTTTCTGCATGGAGACCCTGGAATATCATAGACTACATTTACCTGAAAATGTACATTAATACATTATGTTAAAAATCTTGCTCACTAGGGGTTTCTTGGGAGCATGGTTTAACATTTTGGATTTTATATTTTAATCAGCTAGCATAGGTAGATCATCAGATACAGCCAGTTCTTACATACAGCAAGTAACAGAGAATGTAAAGAACAAAATTCTCAGTTGTACTGAATGTAGTTATAACATTTACAGAAATATATCAGCATCTCTTCCTTCTCTCCTTTTAACATAGAAAAAGTAGATGATGGTGATGCACTAACTTAATTTCTTCTTCACTAACCAAAGTCCAGTCTTATCCTGCTGTGCTGTTCCCTGCCCGAGCTCAAGGAACAACGGTGTAAAGGTGTTCATCCTCATGTATACTCAGAAACATTTTTTTCTTCCTTATAGGGTGGATCAGATACTGGGAAAGGGCCAGATTTCAGTAGACAGGAAAGGCAGGGAGAAAATCCTCCCAGAAGGAGAATCCTTGGAGCATGACATGAGCATGCTTGGCCGTGTCTGTAAAGTAGAGAGACAAGTAAGCCATATTAACTTGATGGTCTAATGAAACACACTACTGTTCAAAGTTTTGGGGTCAGTCAAAAGCATTAAAATATTACCAACCCCAAACCTTTTAACAGTAGTGTACTTGCACACATTTACAATATTTAAGCATAAAATTCAGAAAAATCCAATGTGACGTTTTTATTTCTAATATAATACAGGTACAGTCCATTGAGTCAAAGCTGGACTCATTACTGGATATATACCGGCAAGTGTTGCAAAAAGGTTCCTCTTCGATGCTTGGTCTGTCTGCTTTGCCCCTGTTCGAGCTGGATCAAACCTCTGACTACCAAAGCTCCATCCATAGCAAGGATTTGTCATCCTCCTCCCAGCTTACCGGCAGCAGCGTGTCTCGTTCGGGCAGCAGTAACCTGCATCGTGGTCTTCATCTTGCTCTGGCCCCTAGTGAACTCAACTTGGGTACCGGTTACCCGCATTCTGCCTCCTCCTTCGCACCTTCCCCTCTCCTAAACAACCAACCCTCCAGCCCTGACAGTTTCTACCCAGCGTCCCCTCCTCCCATTCTCACCCCCAACAACCTTTCCAGAAGTCACCAGCGGTTAAGTGAGCTGACAAGGCCGGTCCCAACAGTACATTCAACCTCCTCGACCCTTCAGCTCCCGCCTATGGTACCAACGCCTCAAAGTCGGCCTACCAGCCTTATCCCAGAGACGCTACAGGAGAGCCAGGCGGAGTGTCTGAGCAATTGCCTGTTGAGTACCCAAACCGAGGATGAGTCGGACAGGGAAGCCGATAGTATTCAAAGCACGGTACAGCTACGGGACAAGCCCGAACGTAACCCCAAGGAAGATGGGTCGTGGAGAAGACACTTGAGCCTTGACATTGATCCTCTTATGCTCATGTCTTCCACAACAGCTGCCTCGCTACAGGTCGAGCGTGGGCTCGGTAAGTCTCTTTCCGCTCAGAACCTCATGCTACCGACTGCTACCGACTGCCATCCCAGCCTGTCCACTCGGAGCAGCGGCAGCAGCAACAACGAGTCCAGTGACCGCGAGCCGCTGGCCGACTGGGGCGATACGGAGCTCTTCGTCAATGACAAAGAGGTGGACACCACGGAGGGTGACCGTTACCACCTCCACCAACAGAACAACGATACGTCCTTCTCTTCTGAGCTGCTACGGACAGGAGCCAGTGGGCCGTCTCCCAGCCAGGCTGGACCAAGAGATGGTCTTGAGTCCCATAATTTGCCTCACGTATGCCTCGAATAACCCCTGGAGCACAGGAACCTCACTGTGGAGACTGGACACAACCTCATGTCCCTCATGTGCTTCTTTTCCAAAGGAAATGGAGCGTCCTGTACGCTCTATGTGTTTTCAAATTTTCACAGGAAGACAACATGCTGTTCATACGTTTTTGTTCATACGTACATATCAATGCATGGACAATTTATCAAAAAAGATCATTTATATTAACGAGAAACTGTTGTGGAAAAAATATTCCGGGTTCAATATACGTTAAGCTCAATTGACAGGTTTGTGACATAATACTTATTACCTCCGTAAACACCATAAAGGACTGAAAAATGTGTGAATGTAACCATATGAAGGAATCTTATAATCAAGGAAGCTTATAATTTAAAAAACTTACATTTCTGCTTTTAAATTGTCCAGAAATTAGCCCCATTCATTTTCACTGTGAGTGCATCACTCTAACCCGTATACTGTATATGCATTTTTTTTTGTTAATCAGTATTATGCCATGAATGCTGTCGGTTGAGCATAACTTGTATTGAACCTATAATATTCCTTTAAAATAATGAAGGGTTATGGTACTGGATGAGCCTTGCATGGGATCGGCATGTATAACACTCAGCATTAGGATTTGTTTCTCACGTCCTTCTGAATGTTTGGCAGTCCACTCATTTGCATGTGTTAAGAGATTGTGGGGGGAATAGCAGAAAAAAACAGATGGTCCAAAACCACGTTAATCTGTGATACTATGCAAACCTCAGCCAATCAAGCAGGGTTTGCAAGCAACTCCAGAAGAAACTCAGAAACAAACGCATCTTCACGCTATAGCCTGCACAGAGATATGCTTTCTTAATTTGACTATGTCCTTTAAAACCTGAGAATCTTAGCATCTGAAGAAAGCTGAATGTTGTTACTAAAGAGATGGTATGATGTGTTTAGGTGTAATGTCTTATGAGGAGGTATTTGTGACAATCAGGCTTTTTGAAAAGCACTGATTTCTGATTTTTCTAATTCCGAGTCCTCATGTGGATATTTGGCTGCTAAAATGTTAAAAGAATCATTTTCATCATGACAATAAATTACACTTGCAATGTCATAACTAATGATTGTAATTAAATTTGACATGTATTTTGATTGCTTTGTAACCTGCATCCATATAATCAGAAGTTATCTTTATCAAATTTGTATTGGAATTGCGGCAATATCTAATTTCTGTTGTATTTTCTGATTTTGTTCTTTTAAATTCTGTAGCAAGCTGGCATCTTATACCTAAACCTCAGCTTTGTAACCTCTGTTCTACATTTTTTATTCCATGCTTCTGAATGGTACAATAAGTGCTTTAGCTAAAATGCTTGTCTGTACAACTTGGAATGTAAAGTGTATCATTATGTGTATGTAGACTAACCATGATTAACTGTTACATTTTTTGTTTGTTTGTTTTGTTTTTATTTTTTGTTAAAAACATCTGAGGTGTACATTGAGGATGTTTTTGCCACTGTACAATTGGAAGCAAAACTGTCAAGATGTGTAGAGGAAACCTGCAAATGTGATGAATTGTTTTAACATGAATATGCTTTAAATAAGATTTATAGTCCAGAGATAGTTGAGATGCTTATTTTGCTCTAGAGTTGAGGTAAATAATATAGGCACCTGAGAACTGAAATGAGAACATGTCAACAGATGTGGAACTAAATGATGCTTGAAATGCAGAAAAAGGTTTGTACAGAAATATAGTCTTCTTAACACATTATGATTAATAATATTACTATTGTTATTGCTTTTCTGAAAGTTTTCATTTGTAATTCAATGTTTTACGGTGCCTTTTTGCATTTTATTAAACATTTATACAACTCCTGTATTCACAGTACCTTGAACTCTTATTGAAATGGTTCAATGGTTATATTTTGACAATTGCACATTCCCTGTTTGGCTGTGAACTTAAAGCGTCTGTCAGTTTAAGCAGCATTTCTTTGTTTTACCACTAGAACAAATAATTTATTACACAGAAACTGGCCTTAATATACATGCTTGATAATGTTAGCGTTCTCTGTCATTCAGAATAATTTATTTCATCATTGTGCACATAACAGAGTTGATGCTCTGGGATTGAAAAATGCTAAATGGAAATTTATGATCATCATAATACTTAAATAAACAAAATACTTGAAACTTGGCCTAGTGTGCTTGATGTTAATGTCTTGGTGTGCCTTGTCTTAGTTTGTGGCCAGTTGGATCCCTTTTCTCTTTTCCTCAAATAGGCTACATTCTGGAAGGTAATGCATAGGCTATATGAATTATGTGTTCTACTGTATATGTGAAGTGAAAGCAAACAACCAGCATGCATTAGTTAAGCTATAGGAAATGCACTAATATATGGAGTATCCTATTCCAAAAGCCCTTTTTAAAAAGTTATTTATTTTCAGCAGATGTAGGCATACTGCATCAATTTCTATGGGTGGCTTTAATTATAGTTTTCTGTAAATAATCTATCTAAAAAACGGCATCTAATTGTTTTATTGTTCATCTCGTGTACACATTTATAAACAGCGTCATCCACCAAAATACTACTAATCAATAAATAAGCAAACAAACAGTCATTATCAAAACCACAGAAAGGTTTTTAAAAGCCTTTTCAGGGTGTAATATTTATTCGTTATGGTTTTCACAGCAGTAACGAATGTAAATTGCGGTTGCCATGTTGCATTTCAGTAAGGGATCACGTGAGCGGATATTGATTGAAGTTTTTGATCAGAGATTTGTGGTCGTGCTGGAGGGAAGCGTCGATTCAAAAAAGTAAAAAAAGATTCAAAGTTGTGTTCTTATATGTTTGTTTTAAATGTCGGACTGGGAAGATGAGTACGGTGCGGATGGTGAGGCGATTTCAAAGCCGTCAACGTTACCCGTTCAAATTGTAACGTTACCGGTAAAGTCATGGAGGCCTCCGTCTCCTAGAGGCGCGCGGAGCCGAGACCCCACGAGTGTCGGCGCAAAGTTTGGTGGAGACGGCGAGCAGTGGAGAAACTGGAGGGACCGAGACTCTGAATCCAATGTTTGTGACGGAGCAACCGGTAAAAATAACAGTTACAGTCGTTCCATGACTGGACCTACAGGGTGTCGCGGTGGTGGAGACAGATCAGGCTCATCACCGACAACTCTCAATGTGGAAAACTCTTTGGTCGGGAGAATAATAGGTGAGACACAGGTGTCTGTGGAACATTTATGCAAGCAGCAGTTTTTTGGGCTGACAAACTATGCCCTCTCTGTAGTGATGTCTTGTGTTTTTCTAACGAATCGGTTGAAAATCTTCCCCAAAACGATTCGTTCAAATATGCGGCTCAGTCGGTTCGAGTCATAAGTTAAATCAGACTCATGAGCCGACAACCGATGAGAGAAGCACTAGTAGGCTATGAGAGGATTTGTAGCGGACCAATGGTTTATTTATTTATTTTTAAATAGCTCCACTGAACATAATTATAATATAACAATACAGGATCCAATAATACGAATACCAAATGGCATAGGGACGGCTTAATGGCATGTCTAGGTTTTTGCGTAAACTAACGAATGACTGAATGGTGTTGTAAAACGGTTCAAAAGAACCGATTCGCGGAAGTCACTTCTGTTTCTCTTCGTCTGCCTAGGTCGAGGTGGTGCGAAAATTCGGGAGCTCGAAGAGAGCAGTGGAGCATCGATAAAGGCAAGTTAAATACACTAATGCTACCATACGTGTTGGCAGTAACGTTTGGAAATCTCAGAAACGCCTGTATCTAATCACAAGAGCTAGATTCCAGTTTTAGCCCGTCACACCTTGAGCAGGTCAAAACTGTTAGGACTTGTTGAAATGCAAGACATAGTCTATTTAAAATGAGAAATGTAATCATTTATTTACTCTTATTTTTTTCTGAACCCATATTACACCGTTTCTTCTTTGGAAAAAATGTGAGTTTTTAATATTTTTGTTTTGAACAGCCACAGTTCCCTTTCAAGTTAAGTCACATTTATTTATTTTTTTATAGCAGGTACAATAACATTGTTTCACAGCAGCTAAATCTATGAATTATGAAATAACTGAAATGTTAGCTGTAAAGCGACTCTACAGAAGAAATAGTGCCATTATTCATCTCAACCCAGATTCAGTGTTGATTCAGTTTAGTAAACTGTCAGTGTTGCACAGTTCATCAATTATGCAACAACTTCAATTTCAGCTATAAAGAAGCTCTATAGCTCTTAGGCTAGCGCCAGATTTAATTTCTGATAGGAGTGAAAATGAGGCTCAAATGTTAAACTGAATAAATGGGGAAAAAATCGGTTGAAACTTGATAAAACTGCTTTGACAGTAGTGAGTTGTGTAAATTACAGGATTTGGACATTTACAGTGTGAGCCATTGTAAAGACTGTAAGTTTATCCTTCAGCCTCATTTTTGTCCATGTTAAATTCAATATGGCATCTAACATGATTAAGCTCTATAAAAGGCAATAGTTTCATCATAGCTATTTTGATTTCAGTGTCAGTGTAACAAAGTACATACATTACTTAATAAGCAGCTCTACAAAAGACAATAATAATGTTGTTATCCAGCTCAATTCACTTCCGGTTTTTGTTTTCATCGGATAGTTTCAATAGTATAGTCAGATCCATAATATTTTCTTCTGAAAAGCTGTCTTAGAAAAGTTGCCTTGAAGCTGTTGTCTTTTACTTTCATTCTGAGGACATTCTTCGAAATTCACAAAAATATGTTTTCAGAAAATAATAATAAGGCATATGGGCTTAGAACAACACAAATGAGTAAGGGACCATTTTCTTTCACATGGTATTTCAACAATTACTGTTTAAATGATGTATGATAGATAAACCGTGGTGCACATGAAGCTGAGGTACTTGTCTTTGGAAGCCGTGATGCTCAGCTCAAAGCCAAAGACATGATTGAAGATCTGGTGCATGGGAATTCTGTCAGAGGTCCTGGATGTGGCAATGGTAAGAGCACAGGAATCACTAAGCTACTATAATGTATTATTTTATTGTACTGTTAATTAATGATATTTTGGGTTTGACATTTTCCATTTCAATCTCCAGGTAACAGCAGTGCAGGGTATCAGAATGACTCCTGCTGGCCAGCTGCTGCTGTACGAGCTGTGGCTGCAGCTGCCCCAACAGCTGCACCTATTGACTGGACTGCACTTAGAGAAAATCGGGACAAATATGAAGCTATGAAATGGCAAGGTGAGTCTCTAGTGGCACAAGATGATATGATCATTACTTAAGATTGGTTTTGTCATCATTTACTCAGACTCCACTTGTTTCAAACATATGACTTTCCTCTGTGAATTAACACTTTATTTACACACTTTTAAGGCTAAAATTTTAACTAGAGTAAGGAATTTAGTTGATATACTGTATGAAATATATAGTCAGATATTAAATACTATAAGTACTATACCTTATTAAACAGTCATCTTGTTTTCTGCAGATCTTCCCCCTCTCAAGAAGGATTTCTATATTGAAGCAAAATCAGTGGCAGCTCGCAGTGCAGAAGAAGTCAAAATCTGGAGGTAAAAGTTGTATCACCTTGCCTTCTTCACATTAGCCCACAGATGGCGGCATTTATCTGTTCATAACAGTGCGTCTGAATGCTCTGAGATGAATGTACTGTGGCATGCTTGGGTATAATATTAGTGCTAGTGGTTAAGGCTTTGAATGTGTATTTTTCATGTAATATTTTTGTTAAAGTGAGAGAAACAATGTACTTTGAAACAATGTGCAAAGTGCTTTGTCAATGTCTTTTGTAGGGCTGTCAAAATGGCTGAAAAACTACATTCGAATTTTGTACTTAAATATTATCAATATTCAAACTATATTCTAATTTAAAAGGCATAATTTCAGTTAGGGAGAAGAAAAGGCTTCTCTCCTTTTGGCTTCTCTCCTGAGGCCACAAGAGGATGCATAAAAAAAAATTGATAAATATGCGTTCTTTGTGAACGGCTTGGTTTCAGTTTCGCCGTAAACAACATCTCCGCATTGATGTTCTCTTTTTCCACAATATTTTGAATGAACAACGTAGCAGCGCCGCATCTAGTGGGTTCAACTGGATAGACTAACAGAAGCATTAAAATGCAATGACACTTACATCATCATCGCATTTCGTGCGCCACTGATAAGCCTGCCTGGCGCACACCTAAAATTCGAATGCAAAATGTGGATTTTTATTTTAAATTCGATGAATATTCGAAATTCAAATTTTTTTTCTGACAGCCCTAGTCTTTTGTGTGTTGTTTGATATGCATTCTATTTTTGCCTTTTTGTACTGTCTTTTAATTTTTATTTTTATTTTAAGTCGAGAAATCACACATAAAATTAGACTACCTCATATTATCCAGGTTTTCCTGGTTCTTCAAAGGAGTTGTTGAGGGGATAATTAATTTTAGTTGTTTTAAATCATTTTGAAGTCATCTTGAAAGTTTGCCAAGGCCCCCTAATTGAGAACCACTGTGTTATAGCGTAAGTTAGAAGTGCCACTTCTTTCAAAAAGACAATAAATGAAAATTAATGTCTTTGACATATACAAATAAAAAACCATCTAAAAGTACCGAGCGAGCATTAGTGCAACACTGTGCATATTTGTATTGTTTTTGTACCCCTGCTCTTCTCTGCCCAAACAGAAAGGAGAACAACAACATCTTTGTGGATGACTTGAAAGATGGGGAAAAAAGAACTATTCCCAATCCAGTGTGCACTTTTGAGGAGGCTTTTGCTCACTATCCTGGAATAATGGAAAACATTGTCAGAGTGGGATTTAAAAAGCCAACTCCCA